TACTTGCTCTTCGACGACGTTATACAAACGGGGTTTCCTACTTATGTTAAAGCGTTTGTCCCGTAAATAAATCGAATAAAGAAGCAAATAAATTTAGCAGAATTCAATGGGCAATGCAATATCGCGCGCACCGAATTACGATTCCTCTATGGTGAGAAATTAAGCTCGAGGCAGTGATTGGCGACAACGATACTCGTTGATAACCGATGTTGAGAAAAAGTAGCAAAAATTGGGAACAGAAAGGGGCGAATAAGAAGCCGATCGATCGACTGTCCCGCTTCTGTCCGGATCGATGCGAAAAAGCGCCGGATGAACGAAGAATAGCGGCCTCGAGTCGTGGAAAAAAAGTCGAGCGTTTACAATGTTTGCGCGTGTGGTTGTCGTCGGCGGTCGTTAATCACTCGCGGTACAATAATCACCGCGTGCTTTCTCTGTACATCCGCTAACAATGGAAGTCGAATGCGTGGAGAACACGCAAGGACGAGTCCACGTATGCAGCGAGAATTATTTAAACGAACCGGGCCAGCTAATTATTTGGCATTCTCGGCAGCGACTTTCGCGAAACTTGAAAGACAGCTTCTGAAACGCTCGAAACAGTTGCTTTCGACCATCGAGTGAAAACTACTTGGCATAGTTTCGTCGTTGGCAAAAAGACCGCGATGATTCCGAAGGCATTCGGAAATTACCTGATGCCGATCTTCGCTTGTCGCCGTACAGTTATGATAATTTCAATGCACGAGTAAAAGCGAAGAGCCCGGGATGAGATATTTATAGCGGAGATTGTCTGCACGTCAAGTGGAAAGTCTTAAGTTGTACACGGAGACGTTAAGTATCTGAGTCAAAGTTCCAATTTATTTACCGTGCGAAAATAACGCACGGATATACGTGCGTTCCAAGTTCAAAGTAGAATGCCATAAGTTCGAGTAACAATTTCTAGATATAAAGTACCGAAACGAATATTCTTCCTTCGCGATTCTGGTTCAGATGGCAGATAGCTGCCCGGAATAGTTTTACCAACGCGATAATACAAGAAAATTACTGCTTGGCGACACGAAACGCGCACTTAACTAACCTGTTTTCGTGTTCTAATGTATTCATAGGTCAACACGATAACGCGAAATTACCGAACTGTAGGATTCGAGCAACGGACAGAAAAAGCGCAGAACTTGTTCCAATTTTTCTATTCGTATCAGCAATGCATCGCCTGCGTAATTCGCGCGAGAACGTTAGAAAGTAAAACTACAAAAAATCTAGAAAATCTGAATTCCAAATCAGACTAGAAGCGTAAATAAGAATCTATCTATCGCGCGATCGATTAAAACTTGGGCTCGTCGGCCTGGCCGTAATTGTGAATTTGATCGGTCGGATTTAACGGTCTGTAAAGGCCGAGACTTTCGACGAGGTGGTTCGAGGCAGCTCGTCTTTTTATCGAGTCAAGTGTCAGTTCAGTAGCGAGAGTTCGAGGGAGCGACTTCTCGCGTTAGCTTCGCTTCTTCTTCCGTTCTTTTTCTTCTACGCGAAACACTCGATTTGCAAGCGCTCTGTTTACCCGGCGAGTCCGCGGGTATTCGTCATCGTTTGGCCGCGGCCCAACTAAGCCAGCCACTGCCAAGGAATCCTGGCCAGATTCCCTTTAGATATTCTCGACTTTTTATCTTGCGGAATTTCCACCTCGTGCCCGTGCTCGTATTCGTTTTCCCTTGATCGAATTTCCCAGCGGCTTCCGTGGCCCGTTTCTCGCTGTCCATCCTTGAATCGATCGATCTCTGTCAACCATCGATCAATGCTGCGATTCGCGTGCTATGCGACGTCGAGTTTTTCGATAACTGTAAACGACGAGTGGCGCCAAGTCGCGCAGACACGACTGGCGTGTCTTTCGTTGGTTCGTGGTAGCGCGGCAGTTCGTAAAAGTGCGAGAAACGACGAGGCTAAGAGGTGTCCGTTAGCAGAGTCGCTGGAAGAGCAAATTAAGACCGGAAACAGAGCGATATCGTGCACGCGAATTCGCAGCCCCGCGTCGCGC